GGATCACGAGCCAGCTTCAGCAAAAGTGAGGCACTAAGCAGCTCAGTGAGACCTGTCTCTAAATAAAATACAACATGGGGCTGGGGATGTAGCTCAGTAGTCGAGTGCCCAGAGTTCAATCCCTGGTACTCCCTTACCACCACCAAAAAAAAAGAGGGAGAGGACAAAGCAGATTTGGGAACAATAAGGTAGGAGAGTCCAAAGGACTTGGTACCTATGGTGTTGCTGGGAAAGAGTCCAGGCTGAGCCCTGGTCTCTAGGTGTCTGTTAGGAAAACAGGTGGAAGAACAGATTCTTGGTGGGGAGAGGGTGAGAGTTAGATCTGCCGAGTGCRGGGAGACTGTGCCAAGCCGGATGGTCGACAGCCACACAGGAAGGTCTAGGTCAGGAAAGGTGTCTGGATWGAGGGAGTATGTTTGGAAGGTACTGACCTGAGCTGCCTGTTGAAGGCACAGGGACATATGTGATCACCCAGGGAAACTGTGTGAGGCAGAGAAAATAGGACAGAGGGCAGAAGCTGGAGGACAGCACAGAGGGAGAAGAGAGCAATGGGCAGAGACAGGAAAAAAAGGGCGTCATGGAGGAAAGGGAGAGGCAGAGGCCAGAGGAGCTTAGGACCTGGAGATTGACCATTCAGTACTGGGAGGCCACTGGGCCCTCTACCAGAACCACCGGGTCAGGCCTTAAGGTATAGGCCTATGTCCCAGGGTCTCTAGCAGCCGTCCATCTTCAGTAAACGTGGCTGGACTGCGATGGGATGCTCAGGTACTAGATCCCTCCAGCCCTGGAAGGTAGGAATGTGTGGCCTAAAGGTTGTGTCTGGACCCACAGAGACAATGCTGAGTGCTGTCTTGTGGGCGCCGAGAGGAAACCTAGGAGAGGCTCAGGGAGCCCGGGATCTCATCTAAGTCTAGGGTGGAGCAGCTTGCCATCTGCTGAGAGACAGCACCACCTAGTGGGCAGGAGGAGCTCAAGCCAGGCTTCTCACCTCAAGGCTCCAAGCCTTTGGGGCTCTGCCCATTGTGTCCCTAGTCCTACCCAGTGCCCTGGGGGCACCAATTCAGGCTTTGGCCACAGGGCAGGGCCTGAGCCTCTGAAAGCAGGATACTCTGCTATCAGTTGAGATCGGCTCTGCCAATGGAGAAAGTGGCAGGTTAGAATTTTAGCAGAGATCAATTTGGCCCCCTAGTATGGGCACAAATGCAGACTTCTGGCTTAGACCTGCACAGTGTGAGAGAAGAGGCTGAGACTCTGTTGTTGTGTATTTGTGGTGTGTTTAGGCACATATACAAAATAACAGGCTTGTGAAACTTCTTCTGGCACAGCTACCCCTCCCTTTAATTCAGCCTTTAATTCTCTGGGCCTCCTGCAGCAGCATGTGCTTCAGGCCTCCACAGCCAGGTCAGAGGGGACCTTCCTTCCCAGGAGGGAAGGGGCAGGCTTCAGGGTACCCCAGCAGCAGAGAATCATGTCATCCACCCTCTTCTCAGTGATTCATTCTGAGTGTTCCCTGGCTCAAGGTTTGGCTCCTAGAGCCCCTTGCTCCAGAAAGAGAAGTGCATTTGGATGCCACACACCCAGCAGGGCCCAGATTCCAGTGCCGGCATAGCTGGCCACCCAACAGTCTAGTAAATCCTGGCTGCTCAGCAGTTTGGGGGCCCAGTCAACAGCGAGGTGAGGTCAATACAACCCTCTTACACAACTCAGCGGAACTCCTTTTACTCTCAACTCTTGGTTCAGTTATATGAGATAAAGAATTCCATTAAAAATATTTTTTTGTAAATATTTATTTTTTAGTTATAGGTGGACGTAATATCTTTATTTTATTTTTATGGTGCTGAGGATCAAACCCAGTGCCTCACACATGCTAGGCAAGCATTCTATCTCTGAGCCACAACCCCAACCCTATTGAAAATATGTTTTAAAAGATATTAAAATATTTTTAAAAA